CCCCAAAACCCCAAAACCCCAAAACCCCAAAACCCCTTTAAAGCTTAGCTTTATAGAACAAATACAATCTTTTTTAAAGGAGAAATGGAGACAGTTCAATGTAACTACGACCAGTGCACTGACCAGGCAGATCTCTATCTAGAAGACATGGATGTCTATATCTGTACTGCCCATCACGAGGCTGAGCTCAGTACTGAGCCAGCTGTGCCTCTGACCGAACCTGAGAGTGTCAGGAAAGTAGTCAGGGTTGTCAAAGAAGCTCTAAGAAGCTTTGTGAGTTTTACAGAAGTCCATTTTAGAGGAAGAGTTCCTCCTGATTACCAAAATGTGTTCCAACAAGTTGAAACGGAGATACAACGCATTTTGAGTGACTTACATGAAGCTCTCACTGAAGGTTTTCACTATAAGGTTGCTTCTCTACTTGAAGATTCAACCAAGCTTGAAGAACGGCTGAGAGAGAATGAATTATATGTAACCTTTTCAGTGAAAAAGACTTGGAGACAAGCAGAAATAGCTACAACTATGGGCCCAAAGATGGATATCCCAGAGACCTTCCAAGGCTTAAGGTCCCAAATTTCTACCATTTCTAACAGCATAAGTGAGACTAAAAAGATACAAGAAAGCTTGAAGGCATCTACATAATTAAGGTTGCTGAAAAAGATAGCGATATAAAAGATGCTAGACAGACGATCAGTCAGCTTGATTCAAAAATCACTGCTCTGACTGATAACAGTTTACAAATCGAGGAAGAGAACAAGGCCATGACTGAAAAGCTACAGAAATACAGAGACCAAGGATATGAGGAGGAGATGGAGGCTCCTTATGATCCTTATAATCTTTCCAAAAGGGAATTGTACCAGATCTCAAAGCCACTTTTCGGTAAGGGTTATCTGCTTAATACCTAGATCAATTATTACTAGACTTAAGATACTCCTCCCATATGAGTTTTATCAAATCCATAGAGAAGAGGTTGCCAGATTGCCAAAGAATAGATATCCGTTATTTCCCATGAGATGATAAGGAAGTCGTCAGTTTCCTTCAAAGCTATTTCCCAAGATCTGTGAAATGGCTGAATTTTAACTACGGGTCTGAGCTAAGATACTTCCTGGACTATTACATCGGAGCTCTTCTTTCTGTCAGTGACCAGGTGACTGGAGGCTTGTTCCTTTATAATTTTGAAGTAAGCAGGGAAAATCTGATCAAATTCCTTACTAAAAATAAGACCAAGAAGATTTTAGTCCTGAACAATTGTAAGCTGCTCCTTGATAAGGCTCCTAACTTCAGAGATAAGCTTGATGGAACCTGTATAGAAGTACTCGATCTTAGTGGATGCGGAGATGCTGGCCATGGAGACTGGAGACATAATCCTAGAGACTTTGAGAACCTTATCAAAGGTCTCTCCAAGTCTTCTGATTTCAAAGCTAGCTTAAAGAAAATCTGTATGCTAAGATCAAGAATGAGAGACACTCAAATGAGAAGTATTCTTGATACCCACGGATTCAAGAATACAGAGATTTCTAATGAAATCCAAGAATATTATTAACTCAACTTTTACCTGAAAATTAGGGGTTTTGGGGTTTTGGGGTTTTGGGGTTTTGGGG